TTTTTTTTTTTTTTTTTTTGTCTTTTTCGTGACCAGTAAGGGGATCACAACCCTTGGTGTGGGGTTGCCCGCACCACGCTCAGCCAGTGAGTGCACAGGCCAGTCCTATATAGGATCCGAACCCGCAGCAGGAGCGTCGCCGCACTCTCCCAAGTGCGCCACGGGGCTGACCCGCCACTCCCAAGTTTCTGATTTAACAGATCTGGGTTGGGGCCAGTCATGTTGCTGCTTGTCCAGGCAACCACATGTGGAAGACCATAGCTTTACAGTTAGTGTCAGTTTAGCACATGCAATCTGCCTTTTTATTTTAGGCTTTTTCTATTCTTGTTTTTTTTTTTTTTGTCCTTGTTGAGACCAGCCGCACCACGCTCAGCCAATGAGCGCTGTGAGCGCACTGGTCATCCCTATATAGGATCCGAACCTGCGGCGGGCGCGCTGCTGCACTCCCAGTGCCGCACTCTCCCGAGCGCGCCCACTGGCTCAGCCCAAGGCTTTTTCTATTCTATTAACTTCTCTTCAGTTTAACGATGCCAAACAACACATATGAAACTCTTACATAGAGAACAAGTTTTATTCAAAAAATAGATCTTGATAACAAGGAAATACCAAAAGGTGGTCATTATAATAAAAAGAAAAAGAAAGGTAACAGGAGTTTGCTTTTTTTTTTTTTTCCTGAACATACAAAATTATCAGTATAGTATACTGCCAACTCTCATTTACCTGTATTTGAATTATTCCTTTTATGGATTATCCAAGGAAATACTAAAATCACAGATTAGCTTCTGCCTAATATTTAGACATACATGCGGATTGTTTTTATCTTCAAGTAAATACATTCTTAAGGAATGCAAACAAAATTGAGCATTTGCTTAAGTAAACATAATTAGGAAGATAAGTTTATGCTTAGGAAACATTTCAAAGCAAAATATTATTTTGCATCACTGTTTCCCTCCATTTTTGCAAATAACAAAAAAAAATATGGCATTGAAAAGTATTGGTATTTGAAAGTAACAAATTATACTACTTATAAAAAAGACATAACAGAGAAAAATACATAAGTAAATTATTTCAAACCCCAAACAGAAAATTTTCAAGGAAAATAATGACAAGTACTTAAAAAGTGGTTTTCTATCTTCAAAGTGCTAAAGAAACAATTATTCAAGAAAAACTTTAGGCCAGTCCACAAAGTTCTGACTGACTTGAAGTACTGAAACACCAAGAATGCAAGAGATAAAATTAGTAGTTAAATTTAAAAGCCCTCTTTTTTTTGGGGGGGGGGGGGAAGGCAAGGAAATGAAAACCATTGGTTCCATGAGCAGTTAGGGCCAAGTTAGTAACATACAACTCACTCATCAGCCTAAATGTATTTTCAAACTAATCTAAACATGTTTCATAAAATTTCCTTCATACTCCATGTGTTATTACATCCAGTCATATCCATATTTATCAGGTCAATTGCTTATACAGCAATTAGAAACAATCCTTTAAGTATTCTTGATATCTGGTATTCTCTGCAAACCAATAGTTGATCGCAAAGATTTAATTTTATTCTATCAAATGTAGGTGGCATGTTCACTAAGGACATCATAGCTCATTTTTAGACTTTCAGAAATTGGTGTGATTTACTTTGGCCCTCTAACATAGAAATACTATCTTAGTATTTATTGTGACTAAATACCTCTTTTGTTAAAATGTGACCCTGAGTTTTGAGTGTTGGAATATAAACTGTGAAACTAAAAACACTCCAATATACACTGGCTAATATCTGTGTCTTTACAATACTGTGCTTCTTCTCTTTTAACATAATGCATCTGAAAATACCTCCCTCTTCAGCAGTGAAGTAAGAGGAGTGGTCTGGGGGAATACCCAAATAAGGAAGCAGGAAATTTCCTATCTAAAAATTCCTTTCTTAAAACTTCATAAGAATTTATTCCAATATCTGTTGGTGCTAATTTTTATGTAAAAATGCCATTTTCCCAAATCTCTGAGCAAAATGAGTACATGAAAATGCATTGTTTTCTTCCTGCAGGTTAAATATCCTGGGGGTATTCCCACAATCCCTGGCTTAATAAACATAACATTAATCTACAGTTTTGACTCCACAGAATTCTAAATGTTGTTTTGGAAATCATATAAGAGACTTTTTTTTTTAAGTTAGGTGTGTTACACTCCATCAACAATTTCTAGATACTAAAAGCAGCTCTACATTTCTTAAAAAACATCCACTAAATATAACATTAGAATTAACAAGTGAGAATGAAATAAAAGCAATTTCCAGTGGTGACAATATTCTCACAGTAGCAAATAATCTAACTTCTAGGAGTTTTTCCCTATAATGCTAGGATTATTTAATATTAACAACTAAGTCTTCAAAACATTACCATGTTACACACTGTGCAGTTTATCTAAATTACAGAGAAGAAAAGAAAATTATATCAACACTGAAAGCTCAAAAGAAGTTATTAATGAAAATACATATTTGGCAATGCTCCAGTGGATCTCTACCAGGGCTAGGCCCAGGTATTGCTTTGGATTTTATATGAAGATTTTTTTTCTGGTGTTTTTGTTTCTAGACCAACTATTACACTTTAAAACATATACAATGTTGATCCGTTCTTAAATTGTGCTTCAGGCCTGGTTTACTCATTTGTATAATTTCTGTTGTGTGGCATTAGTCATTAGAATATATCCAGCACTGAAAAGCACTGAAGTTCTTTGTGTAAGCAACAAAGACACTCAAAATCCTGAGTGCTATGACAAGCTCCTTATCTGTATGTCCAGATGGCATCCCGCCCTTCAGTGATGATGTCTTTCAATACTGGTCCTATGTGATCAATGCCACACACACAAAAAAAGAGAGATAGGACTTATTTGTCTTACTATGTATTCACTAAAAGTGAATATAACCATTGCATTAACTATCTATAAGCTCCAAATGTTCACTAAAAAACCCAAACCAAACCCTTTTTACCTTCAGTAATCATGAAGAATCTTTACATATTTATGTAGTACATTGTATGTTATATGTGTGGCCTATTTATACTATGTTCAAGAATATTGTTTTAAACTATTAACAAACCAAAATAAATTGATATGGCTGCAATCTTCTGTCCTTGGTCCTTAGATTTCCTTAAATGATGGCATCGTGTTCATCACTGTAATATATCAAAAGTTACAATTACTTTGTTTTGTATTTGTATCAAAACTACTTACATGTTCATATATGTAAGTAAGTAAAGATAGAAGTTTCAAGCTTCACAATCAAAATTAATGTCATTGCTCTCTCTAAGTTTCTTAAAAGTGACTGGTAAAATGGTGGTTAAGGATTCCAACAGGTTGTCAAACCTGCACTCAAATCTCTGCTCTTTTTGGTGGCTATCTAACTTTTGACCAGTTTTAGCTATTATAATCCTCTTTTAAAAGAAAACAAACAAAAACGCCCTCATATAATTTCTTGAGCATTTACTATGTGCTAGGTGTTATGTTACATACTTTATATCTATATCTCATTTATCATCACAGCAACCCTGTGCTGAGGCATTTTTCTTCATTATCCCACTTTGCAGACAGAAGTCAAGCATGCATGTGAACTCTTTTGTCCTCAGAGCCTGAGCTCTTGACCACACACACTATACTGCCTCGTTTATATAAGCATGAAAAGGCACCCTGCTAGTCAAAGGCAGAACCAGAATCAAACTAAGTCCATCTGGGGCTGGGGGGAGAGAGAAGTGAGTTGCTATTCAGTGGCTATAGAATTTCAGTTATGCAAGATGTAAGTTCTAGAGATCTGCTGTACAACATTGTGCAACAAGTGTATATCATACACTTAAAAGTTTAATAGGGTACATTTCTTATCAAATGTTCTTACCACAATTGAAAGAAAAAACCCAAAAAACACCACAACTAAATCCATCTCCCCAAACCCATCTTTTAACCATTTCACTCCACTCATTGTCCATTGTGACTCTGAGAAATAGGAGCTAAAATTTTAATCAGTGTTATTGTCCAATAAATGAAAATTAGAAATGCTCACTAATACTAGATACAGAAGATCTCATTTCTTTAACGGGACAAATTTTAAGTTCTTAGCTATTGAATGCCATTTTTACAGTTTCAAAGGAAAAACTGGCTTTAAAATGGGACTATGTTTTTTAATGTAGAACTAAGAAAAACACAGCCAATTAAACTACAACACAGTACTCTCTCATCCCATAAACTGTAAGATGTATCCTAATTGCAGAAATGTTAAAATGTGGGGGGAGAAAAGGGTGAACTTTGACGTGACTAAGTATGGTGTTTTCATCATCTACTGACTCTCCTGTATGAAAATAAGACTTCTATGAGTGTGAAACTTCTAGAGTCTGTGCTTCCGCCAGCATAATTCCAATACAGTATGGGGATTCTGGACTATGACTTCTTCCATAGGACATACAACATTATCTGGTCATGTACATGTGAAGAAAAATTAGCCCATGAAGCTAAAATTACATACTTTGTACTTAAGGCAGTTTAAAATTTAAAAATAGCACATCTTAATTTAATTGTTTCATTATTTAATAGCCTCAATCATATCAACAAATATTGATATAATAAAAAATGAATTGCATGTAATTTACTAGAATAAAAATGTGCCTAATATTTAATTGATGAAGTTTACCAGGAAAAGATGATAAATATTTCTAGAAATACGTAGTAGTTTTTAAAAATATTTCATACTTTAAAACATTATGTATTCTTTTGTATGTTGATCTTCAAAAGGTTAGAATTAATGTTTTGAATATGCTTTTAATCTGACAAAACACCACTTTGATATTCTTTTAAAGTGAGTTTGATATGAGATACACAATATAACTTAAATACAATTTTCTTCTTAAAATATCATTTTTAAGTGACAGTAATATAACTTTGCTAGATCCCATTTTCATTTTTGATATTTATTTAGAAGCTTACAATGAACTGAAAGTTTTGGAACCTTTCTGTGTTCTTATTTAGTACTTGTTATAAACATGCCAAGAAGTCTGATTTGCTTTTATTTTTATATGTATTGAATCATACCTAGTGTCAAAAATGGAAGATTCCCTTCAATGGTCTATTCCATTTCCCAAAATGTGTTCCACACAATATTAAGTCCAATAGATAGATAATTCTAGTTCTTCTTGAAAAAAATGGGAGAGGAGATTTATTCTTTCAACAATATTTCAGAGAAATATTTCATTCTGTATTCCCTCCTGGTAATTCATAATGTACATCAGCACATCAAAGGCTTAGAGAAGTCTTGTAGTAAATTGTTTTATTTTACTTTATTCAATCCAGCATTTCCTAAATGTTTCTGATATGGGAACTCTGTGTGTAGGACACATATCTGTATAACAACTGTTAACCTACAGAGCAAATCTTGGAAAATGGTCATCTATTCTGTGTCATTTATAGACATTAACAATTAAAAGAATGAACTGGCTCTTGTACATTGTCAGTGGACTGAAAGTTTGTGTCCCCCCCAAATTCATATGTTGAAACCCTAATCCCAATGTGATGGTATTTGGGGGTGGGGGCCTTTGGGAGGTTATTAGATCATGAGGGTGGAGCCCTCATGCATGCAATTAATGCCTGATATGGACTGAATTGTGTCCCCCAAGTTTTATGTATTACGAGCTTGATCTCCACTGTGACTGTTAAGGGAGTGGAAAATCCTGTTATGGTAATTGAAAGGGCCTTGAAGAGGTGATTAGATTCCGAGGATCATACCCCAATGAATGGATTAAAATGAGAGCACAGGACAGTCTCTTTCTCTCTCTCTCTCTCTCTCTCTCTGCTCTGCCATGTGAGAACCCTGCGTTACTGTCACCACCAAGGCCTTCACCAGATGTGTTTCCTGAACTTTGGACTTCCCAGCCTCTGAAACTGTAAGCAATACATTTTGTTTTCTTTATAAATTACCCAGTTCCAGGTATTTTGTGACAAGCAACAGAAACGCACTAATACAGTGCCCTTATAAGAAGAGGTCAGTGAGCTCGTTAGCCCTCTTTCTGCCACGTGAGGATACAATGAAAAGTTGGCAGTCTGCAACCTAAAAGAAGGCCCTCATCAGAACTCACATGTGGGCACCCTGATCTTGGTCTTCCAGCCTCCAGAACAGTAAAAAATAAGTTATTTGTTGTTCAAGGTACCCGGTCTAGGGTAATTTGTTATATCAGCACAAACTAAGATAACATATGACTCTAAAGACTAAAACCAAGACAACTATCAGAGCAACAAAAATGAGGAGATGACACATCTAAAACCATAAGACATATAGAGCTATGCAGGGTAAACACGGACTGTTGAGACTTGTTGACAAAGCTCATCTAAAAATAAAATGATAAAGTACTAACCATTCATTTAAATAATCAAAAACATGAGGCTCTCAGAAGAATTTTACTTTGTCTTTCTCATGGAAAGCAAATACTTTTTTTTTTCAAACCACGGATGCTATTTGGTACCACCAAAAGACACGAACAAACAAGGTCAATAGCCTGATGGTTCCTGGTATTTCCTATGATCGGTGGTATAAGCAAGTAAAAACAGTTGGCTAAACTTTAGTCTCTAGTAAAAAATGTTTAACACTAGTAAAATGCAAACATTTCTATAGGTACATACATCCATTTTCATTTGCAAATAATTATAATTACAAGCTTGTACAAAAACAATTTACTTTGGGCAGAGGGGTAATGAGAACATAACTCACACGTCTACTAATTATTCATCCTAGAGATGAATATTGGCTTAACTAATATTCTGGCATGATAATTAAAGACATGCAGAAATAATATATTTTTTAAAAAGTCCTGACCAATCAAAACTTACATGGTCTTCTTTTGAGATATGTCTATTCAGGTCTTTTGTTCACATCACTAATCATCAGGGAAATGTAAACAAAAACCACATAAGATGTCGCCTCATTATGGTTAGAATGGCTACCATCAAAAAGTCAAAAGCTAACAAGTGTTGGCAAATATGTGGAGAAAAGGGAACCCTTTTCTTTTTTGGTGGGAATGTAAATTAGTACAGTCATTACGAAAGCAGTATGGAGGTTCCTCAAAAAACTAAAAATTGAATTAACATATGATCCAGCAATCCCACTACTGGGTAGATATCCAAAGGAAATGAAATCAGTATGTTGAGGAGATATCTGCACTCCTATGTTTACTGTAGTACTATTCACAATAGCCAAGGTATGGAATCAACCTAAGTCTCCATCAAAGGATGAATGGATAAAGAAAATGTAGTATATTATACATACTGGAATACTATTCAGCCATAAAAAAAAAAAATGAAATCCTGTCATTTGCAACAACATGGATGAACATGGACGACAATGTGTTAAGTGAAACAAGCCAGGCACAGAAAGACAGATATTGCATGATTTCACTCATATGTGCAATTTTTAGAAGTTGAGCTCAGGGCTGGCCAGTTAGCTCAGTTGGTAGAACATGGTTTTATAAAGGTCAAGTGTTTGGATCCCCATGATGGCCAGCCTCCAAAACAAAACAATGTTCAGCTCATAAGTAGAGAATAAAATAAAAGTTACCAGAGGCTGGGGAAGGTAGGGGGTGGAGGGATGGGGAGAGGATGGACAATGGGTACAATGTTAAGAGTTAGATGGGAGAAATAAGTCCTGGTGTTCTAATGGAACTTAGAGTGACTACAGTTAACAATAATGTACAGTTAATGAAGATCAAGCATCATTTAATGGGGGGTACATTCTGAGAAATGTGTGTTAGGCAATTCTGTCATTGGTGAAGTGTACTTACACAAACCTGGATGGCCTACTACACACCTATGCTATACGGTATGGCCTATGGCTCCCAGCCTACAAACCTGTACAGCATATTACTGTACTGAATACTGTGGACAACTGTAACATAATGGTAAGTATTTGCATATATAAATATATCTAAATATATAAAATATGTAAAATAAAAATATGGTATTATAATCTTATGGGACCACTGTCATATATGCAGTCCTTTGCTGACTGAAACACTGTTATGCAGCACATATTTCAAAAAAGCTAGAAGAAACTTGAATGTTCTCACCGCAAAGAACTGATAAATGTTTCAGGTCATGGAAATGCTAATTACTCTGATTTGATCATTATATAACGTATGCACATATCAAACCATCACTCTGTACCCCATAAAAAGACACAATTATTATGAGAATTAAAATTAAATTAAAGGAGACTTACATGGTTCTATACTGAATGCCTCTTCTTGAATAATACATTTTGCATCCAATGTAAAGAATAGACAAAACTCCCAGTGTTAATACAATACCACCAACAAAGCTCCCAATATCAAATTTTGATCCTTTATTTTCTTTAGAATGAATAGTTGCTGTGACTAGAAGAAAACAAAACAAAACAAAAAGGCTTTTTAGTGCTTTCTTTTAAAAACATTGTTAATTAAAACTTTCTGAATTTCTGTGTAAGAACACTGAACTGGGGATGAGGGGAAATCAAGGCATAGAAAGATTCTGTACTATTTTTGCAAAATGGGATGATGACCTAAATGTAGCACTTAACCTAAATGTGGCATTTAACAACTACTTGCAGAAGGTCAATTTTAATACATACTTGTTACTGATGAAGAAACAGATGTCACCGAACTATTGTGGGATATGGTTGTCCTGGATGTTGACATCTGAGTTGTGTTTTGTGAAACAGTTGTTTTGGATACAGACGTTAAGGTGGTGGAAGTCGTATTTGTTGACACCCCTGGTGTTGCCATTTTTGATGTTGGTATGGTTTTCAAGGCAGTGACTGTCGTATTGGTTGAAACTGAAGTTGTTGATGGTTTCACAGTGCTGTTTAAAGATTCATTTGTAGGGTTGAAAGGCACGTGTTGCATATTCTCTGCAAGAATGTTGAGAAACATTAAAACTGGAGCTTATAATTTAGGGAATAAAATCCCACTTCCCTGTGACTTTCATTACATAAAGCAAGGTATCATGAAAGATATTTAGTCCGTTAATACTTGCGCTATACGGCAATAAATATTTCAAACCAGTAAAATACTCAACAGAAACCAGGCCTAGGTAAATAACAAAGTTAGAATTTTTATGAAAATATGAAAAAGATAAAACCCAGAAGACTGAGTTCCTTCAACGCAGGGACAGTGTCTTGGTCATCTGTGTTTATAAACATTTTAACATACTTTATATCACATATTCGGCTTTCAACAAGTATTTGCTGAATGGATGAATAAACTAATGAATATAAAAAGGGTTTTTAAAGTTCAAGTTTCTCTGCCACATCCCTCTCTAAGGAGCTTTGAGGACAATTAGTAGTTGTATGTTTCTAACCCCCAAGTAGGATGTATGTATCGGGGAGTTACTCTTTCTAAGGGTAAAACCGACTTCCCGTAATGCATTAGAAAGTGAGGTACCATCATAGAATATGGCTAGCTGGAAATTTCATAGTGGTAGTAATAATTTTCCACAGTTGGAAAGGTATTTCTAAAACTATTCTGATAGCTTTAAAAATCCAAAAGCCAGTATTATGTGAGAAAATCATCTGATGATTTAAAATAAACAACTTAAACACCTTGCACCTCATACCTGAAACTGAGTTTTTAATTTTTGGTACACAAAAAGGAATAGATGCTATCATGTCAATACTCCTTAAAACAAACTTGTAAAAACAAAAGTCTTTTTTTTGTTTCTCATTCGGTAAAGGTTTCCATTTTGTTTGTTTGTTTGTTTGTTTTTATAAAATAAGCCATATCACCAAAAGCAAACATTTCTGTGTTAATAACATTGTTTCATACTGTATTTTCTTTGGAACTATGCAACTTAACTAACATTTACAACTACAGATACTTCAGTTACTATAATTTACAACACACTAACTAGGGCATGAAGACATTTAATATATCTTGCCCCTTTAATATGATGTAATTTATTTCTGTATTTGTTTCCTATCTGTCCAAGTTTATTTTCAGGTTTATAGTTTATTCTCAGGTTTACTGGTTTCCTATGCATCTGTATCCATACTTCCATCTTCCATTTTCCTTTTTATGTCCAAATAGTAAAAGTAGAAAGAATTAACCATTGGCCTGCCTTCTGCTTTCCCCCAGTGAGAGCAGTACCAATGCCCTCAGGCTCCCTGCACCGCTGTGGCCATCAAGCACCAAAAGTGATTATTTCATATATTTTCATCCTGTCTTCCACAACTATTTTGGACTTGAAAGATTTCAATATTTATTCTTGACTTAACTATACATACACTGTTTTTAATAGTTCTGTTTATCCACATTATCAGCTTTTACTACTCAAATCCCTACTACTTTCTCTCAACTTTGTTTCTCTCTTCTGTGTGGTCTCTTCCACTGAGTTTTACTTATTTTTTAAAAAGGCCAATAGAGGGCCGGCCCGGTGGCGCACTGCTATAGTGCGCCGCTTGGGAAACGCGGCGGCGCTCCCGCCGAGGGTTCGGATCCCACATACAGACCGGTTCCCGCTCACTGGCTGAGCGAGGCGCGGGAGCGACACCGAGGGTTGCGATCCCGTTGCCGGTCCTGGCCCGGTACGGGTGCGACACTGAGGGTTGCGATCCGTTGCCGGACACGGAAAAAGACAAAAATAAATAAATAAATAAAAAGGCCAATAGACAAATTATCCAAGTAGATGACACAAATTCTGTGAACTTGAACCAATCTTTTATTGTCCAACTTTGAATGCTCTATGAAGAGATATAAATAACACATTTCAGCATTAAAATAATCACCTTTTAAGTTTAAACTGCTGAATGAATTCTATTGTAATGAATACAGCAAAGAACCAGCATTTAAATCATATCTTTAGAACAGGATGATCTTTTTGCAGAGTAAAACAATGAACCCAATGTTGCTTTTCGATTCAACACACACAGCCTGCCTCCCACCTCCTCCATAGTAAGACATTCTTCAGAGCTACTGTACAAAGTCATATGGGCAAAAATGGCAGAGCTGTTATAGGTTAGTTCTCCACTAAGAAAATCCAAATTTGTTTAAAAAACAAACAAACAAAAGCCATGTAGCTGAAAATTTCTACAAATTGACAAGAGAGGCAAAAGAAGTTATGTATTAAACTGTTTTATGATGTTTAAATGTGCAAACTGCAATGCAAGGATGCACTCTTCAAGGTTGGGAACTCATATCCAATGACCCAACCCTCTTGGTTCTGTAATACAAGTAAACCATCATTTGTTTTCCTCTACAAATGATACCATCCCCAAGTTTGGCCTTCCTTCTCTCTTAATTGTTCAGATATTGACTGGTACCTCCAGGGAGTAGCACAGTTCACACCTGCATAGAGATGTTAGCAAAACAGATCATCCACGCAGGACTTGCAAAGGAGAAGTCCTATCTGACTCTGCCCATCTTAGCCACTCAGTCTCTTCCAGCCTCTGAGAAGCTGAGGCTGAAAAGGCACAAAGAGGATACTGCTGCTGGAGAGTGTCAGTCTGCTGTGGGTTCCTTGTACCCACTTCCACCTCTGCCTGTGGGGGAAAGAGGAGAATGCTATTCCTCACTCCATAGCAAGCTGGAAAGGCTTCCAGGGAACTACCTGAAGAGATGGACAAGTATCTCCTGGACTTAGATGGACACAAAGATTAGGATTTGACTCAAGCCTGAAAACTAAGCCTAAAGGTGAGATGCTGTGGCTGAACACCATGTACCTATCAGCAGACTTTAAAAGCCTGCCCTGGGAGTAGACTCTATCTCCAGTGACAGCAAAGGTTCTTATTTCCCATGAACCAAATTAGACCCCATGGAAAATGGCTGTCACAGGGTTGCCTTTAAAGGTAGCTTCCTAAGAAAGCACAGTCTAGAGGGGTTGAGATAACCAGCAGAGGGGTGGAGCACCAAAAACTAGGGCTGAGAGAGTATAGTGAGGGCCAGCTGGAAGAGAGGCCCTGCTGTTATCAAGGGAGCTGAACGGGAGGGGAGGCCTCAGTAGGAGGATCTCCCAGGAACCTACCAAAGAGAGCCACACATCTGCAATCCAGAGGGTACCTATGCCAGGTGAAAACAGTCCAGCCATCGACCAACTGGCTTTTTTTCCTTAAGCCTCTCTAGGCCTGCCTCTGTAAGGGTCATAAAGAGCAGAAGTGAGGGGGAGAAGAGGTGGAACAAAGAAGGAAGCCAACAATGTCAACTTTCCCCTGCAAGCTTCTAAGCCTGAAGCAGGCCTGGGCTGGCAGAGGGCAGGAATTGCAATTTCAAATCACTGTAGAGTTCCATTATTTTGGTATTATTCTGAGCAGGAGCTGTACCCTACTAAATAGAACTTATTTACTAAACTGGACACACTGTCTATAACAGCTCAGCTAGTACAGGTAAGAAGGTTAAGCCACCAGGGAAAGGGTATATGTGACACACAGTTGTCCATGCTTGTTGTTAAGGGTTGAACTGTGCCACCGAAATTCATATATTAAAGTCTTAACCCCCAGTACCTCAGAATTTTGAACACACACACAGGGAGAACACCATGTGAAGATGAAGGCAGAAATTACGGTGATGCTGCTACAAGCCAAGGAACACCAAAGATTGCCAACAAACCACCAGAAGCTAGGAGAGAGGCATGGAACAGACTCTCTCTCTCTCTTCCTTCAGAAGGAAGCAACCCTACTGACACCTTGATTTCTGACTCTAGCCTCCAGAACTGTGAAACAAGAACTTTCTGTCGTTTAAGCCAACCAATTAGTGGTGCTTCACTATGGCAGTCCTGGCAAACTGACAGACTAAGCTTCAAAATTGATTTCTATTTATAACCAAATGTGTCTCTGCACAACTCGCATGAGTGGTTGTGCTGAACTGGTTCCTTTTACACATCTTTGAAACTAATCACTGTAAGATGAATTAAGTCAGTAAATACTTGTCAAACCACTCTCAAAACTTGTTTAAATAAAGCAAGATTATCTACAGATTTTAATCAGAGATTTAAGAATTTCTCAATCTTAACTCCTGGTTTCAACTAACAATTACAGGGAAAATGCAGTGAAGGGCTATAATAATGGTATCCACGCACCTTCCTTCCCAGCAGCAGCAGTGTTTGGCCCATGATGAAAGACAACGACAAAGAACATACATATGGATATGAGTGACGTTTTGACACTGCCATAAAAATATTCAAACAGTCCAATCAGTTCTCAATTCCTGTTTCATGGTAAAACTATTCCTTGAGCCCAATTCTTCTATGATAAAATTAGAGCTTCCACTTACTGAGCTGTTCCTTTTACCAAGCCTGGTGATGTTTTCTAGGCATGATGGGTACAAGCTCAAGCTCTGGATCAACTCAGCCATTTACTTGCTGGGGTACCTTAGGCAACTTACCCGACATCTCTGAGATTCACTATCCATCCTCATCTATAAATTAGAGATATTACAAGGGTTTAGGAGAATTAACTGAGATAATCTGTGTCGAGCATTTAGCACAGTGCCTACTATGGCAGAAGTACTCAATGAGGGTTTTTTTGGGGTTTTTTTTGTTTTTCTAAATCATTAGTTTCATTAACTGTAACTCCCCTACAGAGCTGCACTGTAAAGTTCCCTATCGGAGGCTAAAGAGTAGGAACTGTCAGATCCCCCATTTACCACTGTTACCATAACTACCAGCTGACTAAAATCCTACAGAAGAGGATGCTCTTGGGGGTATTTTCAGTTTATCAATGCAAACAGCCAAAAAGAAAAAAGTGACGCCCAGGACTTTCTCTATTAACATCAGCTAGCCACCTTTTTATTGCAACAAGGCCAAGGACACTATGAAGCAGTCTGTTGTTCTCTAGCACCATATAAAAGTACTCATCAAAGTCTGGATTTATTCCAACTATCTGTTTAACTCTGATGTGTTGAAGTAACTTTCCTTATTCCT